GTATGGTGATGGTGCATACCTCTAATCTTCAGGTTGGTTCGCTATTGAGATATTTACGAAAAAAGTCGTGTATAAGAACTTATGCGACAACCTAATACTTCACGCCTATGTACTTTACTTTACCTTACGCCTTTGGAACATTGCTCGTTTTCGAAAGAAATCTAGCCAATTGCTGACCATGAGATAGGGTAAGACACCAATATATTTGAAGAATGAGTAGAAAGATGACGAAGGGATATTATTCATGCGGGGTATCCGGGCTCGGAAAGCTTGCACAAAGGCCTCACCTGGCTGGCTTCAGAATTGTTCGTCGTCTTGCTTGAGGCTCAGAAAGAGCTAAACTAAGCCTGAAACCTAACAACGTAGCCCCTGGAACTCATGTACATCGGCCCACAATGCATATGTCACTGTGGAAATGTAGTTGTGATTTGTCAATCACCGTTCTTCGTCTCCCTTCCCTATCTCCGCCCCAGAGTGCCATCATCGTCGCTTGCGTCACGCAGATGATCGTGCTTGTGCTCGTTCAGTTTATATGGTCTTTATTGGTCTTTCTTTCTTGAGTAGGTCAGCTTGCAGTCACAGTCTTGTGGGACTAATACAGGCTTAACACGTTGACGACGTAAGAGCCATCACTGGCTCATACCACATGGTACAGTATTAGCCACCGGTGGTTCGCAACCTTTTGCACCTCTTCTCAGCTTACTTACAACAGCTTCTACCGATTCCTTCTTTGTGGTGGATTGCGAAGGGTGAATCTCCACCGTCTTTGCGAAATATTTTTAATGAATTGAAATTTTCCAAGTAGCTAGTGCTATGCCCTAAACCTCCAGAATAATTGCTTTGGTTGAAAATTTGACTGTGAAGATAGTTCGAGCTCTGATCACGAAGTTCCTCTCATATTTTCCGTCAGCGCCATTTTGGAGCCAACGCCTTTTTGGCACCGAATTCGACATAAACTCCTACACCTGGGTACTGACATCTACATTATGGGCTTCCTTTTTAGTGCTTCCGCCACATGGCGCCATTGGGCGCTAGCTTTGCCAAGGCGAGCGAGAGAAGAAAATAACAGTAGAGCTCTGAATGACGCCGATACCGGAAAAGTTTGCTGGTGGCCATCTAAGCTTTACTGTATAAATGTGAAAAAGAGTGAGGGGCGGCGCGGTTCGTGATGGTCTCCAGTGTGGTGAAGGGTGATAGTAATGGCTCGAGGCGGCGGGGTTCGTGATAGGTCTCCAGTGTGGTGAAGGGTGATAGTAATGGCACTCCCTGCAATTTTCTGCAAGATTACTCAATCACTCTGCGAAATTTGACTGAGCGGCAAAAATCCATGAGAGCAATGGATTCATCGGTGCCCTAAAAGTTCTACGGGATTACGTGGTAGTAGAGCGCGACAGATAGCGAGTGGATCAGGCAGTCCGCGGTTGCGGTCCAACCTACGCCGCCGTCACATGTCCCATCGTTTGCAGGGGTCATGATTGTATTTCATACGTTTCTTAAAGGCTGAGCACGCCTTTAAGCAACGTATGAAATACAATCATGACAGGTGTGATGAGTTATACGGCTTAAATAGTAATAGTAAGGTAGCAAATGATCCAGCAGTAAAAAAGCAGGGCCTCCTCACCGATTTTTGC